CTAAATGGTTTATTACTAAAACCTTGTATTTTCCATTTACCAGTTTAATTTTTCCCTTATATTCATGTAGCAAAATAGAGCTACAATTTAATGTATCACATAAAATTCTCCACGTTTCTAACTGTACTTGTATCGATGTTAGAAAATGATTACTCATGTGTTTTAGATTGCAATTATAGCACTTTCATCAACATCACATTTTTTTTAAAAACAAATAAGATAAGACCCTACAATTTACTTCTAAAAGTACCACATTACATACAGTATTGTCAAGGATAACTGTATATTTAATTTGAAAATGTGTTATTCCAATTATGTGTGAGTTTACTGGTTTGGTTTATTGTCCCTGTTAGGGCTGTTTAGTCAGTCTGTCATCATATATAGATTATATGTTCTGCAACTATCAAGGATTTACCTCTCATCAGCCATTGCTTGTGCATTTGTGTTAGGTTCATTTAACATTTTTCGTTGTAAGAACTTTTGTAAAATCGTTTTCTACCAGAGTGATGAGAAAATTTGAAGGAACAGGATGGAAAAATGTTCTCAAATATATAGGTTTCTAATGGTGAATGTGGTTTATGTTTGGTAAAGTCCATTCATTCCAAAATTGATTGTTAAAGACAAACACAATCTTGAACTACTTTCAAACGACATTTGAATGTACTGAGAATTTGAATGTACTGAGAATTCTAAGAATGTTTGTACACATTTTCCTAAGAAATTTCATTGAAAATTCTGCTAATGTATGCCCAGCTTTCAGTAAATGCATGAATTTCTTTCATTCTGCCCACAGGCTTAATTAAAGAAATCCAAGCAGACTGCTCTATCCCAAAACAGTGTGGATAAACAAATCTCCTGACTGTCAGAGTCCATGTGTACTAGCAATTGCTCCAGCAAAGGCCAAGCACTCCTGATCCCTGCATCCTGGTGAGAGCCATTTACCATCAGCTGGCAATGTAGAGTATCAATTTGTGTATCTCCTGTTTCTAGTCCATTTTGCAATTGTTTATTCATTGTATGTCTAAATCTGGCCATACACCAGTAGAATTTAATTAGAAAAGTTTTGTTTTAAAAACGTTTGTCTGATTTTCTAACAGTGAAGTCAAATCGACATTCATTTTCAATAGTAGTGACAAGAAAATTTGACAGAGGAGATCAGCACTGTCTTAGTCTATTGACACTTGCGGCAACTCAGTAGCTGATAGCCTATACAGAGATATAGACAGAGAGCTGTAGAAAGTGTCTGCAGGAACATGATCCAATGATCGCGGGTGCAATGCTTTCCAAGCTCCTGTATAAAAAAAAATAATAAATGCATATGATTTTACTGCCATAAAAATATGCATTTATTATTGTTTATACAAAGCTGAACTTATCAATTAATACAATTGAGATGAAACTCTAAAGACTTTTGAATGGAATTAAGTAACTCGATGGCAAGACAGAATGCTCTGATGAACAATTTTTCAGATTTTCCAGATTCAGATTTTCCATATGTTCAAATGGAATTCTACAGGTGTATGGCCAGCATAAGGCTCTGCTATCAGTAAAGTATAAGCATCCATCAGTGGAAGACTCTGATAAGGTGGTACTCCATAGGAATCTTCTTAATGAGAAAAAACTTGGTGTTCTTAAACTGATAGCCCCCAAAAAATAGCGTTTAGACTTTTTTGATTTTAAACTTTTGTTATGTGTAATATATAACATTTTGTATTTTTTTTAGCCCTGGCAAAGCCAAGTGAAATTTTGTGTAGAGGTAAACTGGACAGGTAAATCAGATAAAACTAGACCTGGAAGGGAACCCTTTCAATGAGATTAAGAAGTTACAGAGAGAATCCATGGATTTAGAAAGGCAGCTTTATAACAGTTTTTCATGGATGGGAAAGATGGAAATTGGGTACATTTTTCTAAATCTCCCCCCTGATAACTAACTTTTAGTTAGTTATCATAGTAATGATATTAGTAATACTCCTATTTCCTATATCAATCCAGCTAGTCAGCACAAAACGAACAAAATAAATAAATGTCCCTCATGACTTCTCCTGCCAGTGCTCCACATTACACTTCTGCTTCTTAAAGCAGAGCTCCAGGCTCCCCCCCAAAAATTAAAAGTCAGCAGCTACAAAACCTGTAGGCTGCAGGGAAAGGATGGGGGTTGAACTTACGGCTCAGATCACTGTGTCGCATCTTACTGTAAGTGGGAGTGGGTACCTGTCAAAACCAGGTACCTGCTTCCACCCAAAAAGTGGCAAATGTGGAAATGGAGGAGGGGAGGATACAAACAAGCGGAATTTCTCCTTATGGGTGAAGTTCTGCTTTAATAATCTGAATGGACATCCCCATTTCACTTGGCCTATCCTCACTTTGGTTTATGATAGTATACACAACAGATCAGAATATTAAGTTACCTTTAATAATTATAATAATATTAATAATTATACATCAGAAGCCAAAAATTAAAAAAAAGAAAAGCTTGAACATTGAAGGTAGACACCGGACACATGTAAGAATGAGTGAAAATAAAACATTTGAGTGCCACATAAGGGTAGGGGGAAGGTAATATTCATGAGGACAAGTCAGGAGACACAAGGGACAGGGTATGTGGTTACATTATGGGATGGGAAAAAGAGGCTTTGGGGTATATAGGGAGAGTGCAGTTAAAAATTAGATATGTATATTATGACATAACTTCGGTGAAGATGAAATAGACCAATAACTTATACACACTATAGGCAGCAATTTTGTGGGGGGCAGAAACAACAATCAGCCTAACAGTTAACTGGAATTAGCGGCAAACCCTTGTGTTTTATTTATGTCACTACTCACCAGTGAATTACTGGCCAATAGTTGACCCCTCCACACCAGTACAGCTGTAATGGTACAGGGGAGGCTGGCACAGCAGCCTCCGTGTTCCTTTTACCATCAGCTGCTGCATTTCTGGGTATACTGCAAGCCAACTGTGCCATATAAATTCAGGCTTAGTACCTGGAGGTTGCAATAAATTGAAGAGCAGGAATAAATCTTGAACTGTGCCCCCTTTCTCCTCCATAGTGGCTTTATAGAACACAGTGGCTGCAGTTCATACAAAGATGCCTTTGGTTTGTATAAATGACAGGTACACTTTAATGGGAAAGGAATCAGTACATGTACACGTGTACACAGAAACATAGATATGAAGGGCCTGTAACATTTATGTGGGCAATAAGTTGGGACAGCTGTTGCAAGGAAAAAACATGTACCAAAAAATCCAGCATGTCACAAACCACACGCAGCAGGTGAGCATGAAATAAGCTGCCTTTTTTTTTGGAAATCTGCCATGTTGTTCACTGAAAGACAGGGATGCAGAAAATTGAAAGCATTCACCCATAAACACACACACAGCACTTGGCAGCATATGACAAGGGGGGGTAGTAGCACCTCTGCCCCTACTTACTAATGATAGTGTACATTTGGGGGTACAAAGCCTGCGTTTAATCTCTAATCTGGGGGGGGGGGGCGGGGGCAGTGGAGTGATAGAGGCTGTCCATATGGAAATATAAGTGTAAATTAAAGCCCCTAAAGGCTATAGGTGATCTGATATGTCACTGTGATTAACTGTGTATGTCATCTACTATGTACAGGGTTATATACATTAGTGTAAAGCATCCGGTGTGTACAAATGTTCTTATCACCAAGTAGTGTATGGTGTATCTGTTGTGTAATAGTGATCTGTCGTTACAGATTTCAATATATAGAATCTTGTGTGTATAAGTGACCCATTCTATTGTACTATGTTTTGTATTATAAAGACTGAACTTACATAATGAAAGGATAGATTGTGTATATTAATTTGGTCCTAAATGAGAATCTGGGGTTTTCCCTGCTATTGATCTTGGCTCCATGATTGGTGTTTGATGCAAGTTTAGGTTGATTTCTAGCCCTGTGACCTCACCCATATCAGACATGCCAGTTACGCTCTTTTAATCCCATCACAATGCCATGTAACAAGAGTCCATCTGATTATATGACCCCATTGACCCCACTCTTTCCGTGGGTTGAAAGGAGCAGTTTTGTCCCCAAAAGAGTTAAAAAAGAAGCAGTTTTCGTTTCATCTCATTTCTCCTCCACAATGGCAGCTTCACAAACTCTTCCAAAGGCATACCAAAAAGACGCTGGAATTCTTCAGGTGGGAGATATCGCTGGAGGAAAAAGCACAAAAGATACTTTTAGGAATGGTCTAGTAACCTATCCAAAGTACTTTACAACATGCCTAGATAAATTCCACAGAAACTTGAGGTTCTGCCCCATGACATGCTAACCCTATTTCTCTGTCGTGTCTAGTTCACTTATTTGACAGTATCAAATATTGGCTACCATTAGGCTTCTGTTATGTAGCTTCGCATATTACACAACACACGAATATAAATGCCCAAAGGGATGCAGTAAGTGTGTGTTTTTATAACAGAAAATGTATATGCACACTCATAATATTTCACATAAACCTATTTCAGTACAAAGAGAGTGTGCAGAGACTAAAGACGGACCAGGCCCCACAACATAAGGATGAGCTGATGAAGCTTTATATTCTTCTTTCTCACCTCCAGTTGAGTTCTGTCTACACCAGGGGGCAGTTTTTGACGTCCTCTGTTTGATACCATCAGTGTCTCGTATCGGATTACCTGGGAAGAGAACATTTCAGTACACTTGAAAGACAAAATGTGATATACAAAATGTTTAGTTCTGATCTGTCCAACTGGTGTCCAGTGGGACCTTGGCAGGCAACTGCATCCTTGCGCTGTGCAGGACCAAGCTGTCAAACTATAACCGGTCAGTTCTGTGGATTACACAAGACAAGCATCACATCCTAGACATGACATGTTCAAGACAAGCTACAAGCTACTGAGTAGATAGAAAAGTCATGATTGTGATATTTATTCCAGTATTTAAATCAAATAGCTAGGATTGTTCTCTGGCCTCTTCCACTGATATATACTGTAAATATTATCAGTTGGACTCATAATTCATATTTGGGTACACACCTTTTGTTCCAGCATGCTGGGTAGAGAGTTTCCTCTGTCCATTCTGGACCTTTGTCCTTCTCCGTTCTGTGGGATACAAAAATATGTCTAGCAGTTGTGATTCCTGCTGCTCAGCTCCCAGTCGCTTCTCCTAAACCTTTCTACGTAGATGCTTACCTGGAATCCTGTAGAAACAGAAAATCATAAAAGTAAAGTTTCTGTCAACCTAATTTTTTTACAGTTCGCTTTATGTTTGAAGACAATTATCAATTGTTGGTACACTAATATTGTAATCTGGGAAAGGGATGAACAACTCCAGTCCTCAACAAATATACAGGCCAAGATTTTGGGACAGAAAGTAATAATTTGAGATGAAATCCATGCCTTAGGCAAAAAGGAACTCTGCTAAAAACAAGTATTTCAAACTTTATTGGCAAGTTGGGAGCCCTGACAAATTTTTTTATTTCCTACAGTAGTTTGTATCTCCACCATTTTCATAATGAAGATGCCACTGTAGTACAATGTATTTAATTATTGGTTTATTTTCCATTATTTTCTTTGCCAAGAAAAGCATGACACCATAATACATTTTTCCAGTCACAGCAGTTTGGGTAACTGCACATTTTGGTGTGGCAGTCTTGGCCCTGCTGTCCCCAGGAGATTAAACATGTAATTTAGCTTTCAAGTAAACATGCAAAACTGCAAGACCATTGCATTTGGGGATGGAAGTTGTGCTCCCTGCCATAGTAAGTAAGGTAGATCTTTTAAGGTTTTTAATATACATCTGCTTTCCCATAGCAGCCCACAGCAGTAGTTTTTTTTATTTTCTGACTTAGAAATACTGTTTATTAAATGACTAAAATTCCTAAAGACTAACTGAACTCTGGAAGCACTTCCTCAAAATAGATTAAAGGACTAGTGACTAGGAGCCAGTGATCCTTCAGCAGCTAATCTTTCCCCTACTACGGATTTACTGTTTTGTTCTGCGTAGCAATGGCCGTCTTGGTCAAGGCAGGACTTTTGCTTCCTCGTGTCACATCCACCAGCAGAAGAACAGTGAGCAGCACAGTAGTGACATCACTAAACCTCACTCTAGATTTCATGAGACCAGCAGTCAAAGGCAGAAAAGCCTTTGATCTCACACTACAGATACACAGCTATGAGGCTGAAGGCAATGCTATTTTTCAAAAGAAATCCAGACAAAAAGTACATTTTCCAGGATACTGCTTAGGCACAATTAACATTTCTAAATTTTACATAGAAACATCAAATCTGCCCCTCTTTGTATTTTTTTTTTTCATATAAATCTACATCTTTTGACTGACTTACTATCTCTGCTGGAAGTCTGTTCTTACTCTGTTCAGTAAAATAATACTTTATAAACATATGCAGGCCATATATGGGTTGAATTCTGAAAGAATTTTCTTTCGTAAATCGTAACTAAGAATTTTCTTTCGAATTTTGCACCATTAGTGAGCCACAGCGTTGGTCGATTTTTGTGTGGCCATTGAATTTGAGTGATCAGGCACGTTGGAAATTTTTTGAAAGATGAACAAATTTCTAATCAATGGTGGGAGAATCGTGCGAGAAATATAATTGAAAAAGAAATGAGCATGAGCTGTGACCTGGAAAGAAAAGAAGATTCCCAGCCACATAAATTCTTTTCTGTAGCAACAGATGAAATTGAAGGCTTGGTTGGTCGAATTTCGAAATCACTGGTGGCACTGGATGACAAAACGCACAAAATTTCTGATTTCATTCAGAATTTGACCCATGTATGGCCTGCCTAAGTTTAGAACTTTTCTCCCGCTAGTTAGAGGTAATATCCTCATGTTGTTGATCTTAGCTTCATAATGAAAATACTCCCCTCTTGAACCTTGTTCACTCACCAGTACTCTATATCGGAAGATTATTTTTCCCTAGGTGCATTATTTTGCATTTAAAAAAGTTGACCTGCAGTTTTCCACTGCTTTGACCAATCTTCCAGCAATGCGAAATCATGTTCCACCTTGCAAACACCTCCAGGAATGTCAACCCTATTGCACATCTTTGTAACATCAGCAGAAACAATTGAGTACTGTCCGTGATACTTTTTTTTTTATTTGCACCTTGAAGAAGAAGGGGACATATCCCAAAATCTTGTCCTGAAAATTCTATGTTAGTGCAAATAAAAAAAGTATCACGGACAGTATTCAGTTGTTTCTGTCGCAAGTGCACTCATACGGCTACAGTCACCTCTAACATCAGCAAAAAGACATACCTTACCCACCAAACCTTTACTTATATCACTTACAAGCAGAATAAATAGAACAGGACCTAGTACAGAGCCTTGTGGTACATTACTAGAGACTGGTCTACAATCTTCAGTTTTTGTGCTCAATTCCCCTTTAAGTGATAAACAGTTTCTAATGGTACAAGGTGGAATCACATAGGTATCTATGGGAAAACAATTTTCACTCCTTTTTATAAATCAGTCATAAAATATCTTGCAACAGTAAATTACAGGTAAGGCATGATGTGATAACACCATTCTACTGGTTATTGGTCCTGTTTAAACATTTTGCTCACTCATTTTAGTTAAAGCTGAGTTTTAGCCAAAAAAAATCTTCTTTATAGCTTTAGTGACCTAACTTATGTGTAAATAAATTATGTCCCACATAATGCACACATAATAGCTGCCAGCAATAATGGCATGTAAAATACGACAGGCTGGTTGAACCCAAGTTGATAGATCGATCAACTTGGGTACATTCAGCCTGCCCATACATGCTTCGATTTTTGGCTAGTCCCTGCTCATCAGGCTGAGATTCGAATTGTCTATGACCAGTTTAAGACTATCAGCCATGCTGATCTTCTATAACCTGTAGAGCTTTTAAACATGCATCCCTGCTCACCTGTGCTCTCTCTCTGCTTGTCAGGAGCATGGAACTCTGCAGACAGAAGCTGGAGATAGAGAAAAAATTACTTATCATACTTATGAAAAAAAATTCACTAATTTGTTATATGTGGAATGAATTATCTGCCATACGGACCACATGTAACATTAAACACAAGATGTTTCGTTTCTCAATTTGGACTCACCCTCGATAAGCTACTTCGTCCATATCCAGAATGTATAGCTGAGGAATAAGACAGTGGACATATATAAGCGTGATACAAATGCCACATATGTACATTTTGTAGGTAGATGAGGAACCAGTAATGGGAAGGAACCACTAAAACTTTGACCATGTTGTCAAAACTAATATAAACTAAGTTTAACAATTCTTAGATTTCCCATATAGAAGCTAATCACTAGGTTGTTTTAGAGGCAATTGTCTAATTGGGCTATATATGGGAACACATTGCTCTCCCATCAACCACTATCTACTCAAATATTTGTGAGGGTTCAAAATTAAAGTTGGATATTGGTTGTATACTGTATGCCTGTGACTGCACAGCTTTTTTGTACATGGATACATCTGATGGTCCATCTGATCATAAGGGTAGGGTTAGGAGAACTTAAGTGCTTACGAGTAAGAATCCTGTTGAAGGCTTTGTTGAACAATTTTGTATAAACTTGAACTAAAAAATCATCTGGTACCATTAATCATTTTTTTTCTCTTAAAATATCTTACACTTTCAACTTTTTAGCTAATTATCCTCCACAAAATCTGGACACCTGTAATAAATTTTATTTGCATAAAGATACAACAACCATACTGCTTGCCCTTCTGTAATCAGGACATCCCACATCAGACTTCCCCCAATACTTAAAACCCAGATATGAGGAGAGGTCCGAAGAACAAAACCCTTTTAAACTGATGCCAGTCCTGTGCAGTATTTTCCACAACTGCCATCATTCTTTGCTTCTGCACTCTGTATGATCTGAAAATTTCTTTGTAATTATCAGAAAAGAGAAGAAACACATGAGTCCTTGCTTTGCATATTGAGAGCAGAAAGACTACAACTACAGTTTTTTTGGGTGAAATCTGCAAGAACTGTACAGGAAATTAAAAGACCATTTCATGCCTTTCTTTACCAAATGCCCTCTACTGCTAAATAATCACTAACATGTTGGCTTTCAGATTCTATGTTAATTGTAGGCTTTAAAGTGAGGTTAGATTGTGAACGGGCAAGGTCTGGAATGCATAGTGCCATGTTGCTAATAGAGAAGTAGACGGGACCTGGAAGAAGAAAAGACTTACGTGTGTAGATTGGTGTCCTGTCAGGCAATGAGCGGGTTTTTCTTTTTGGAGTACCCCCTTTCATCATTTCCTCTTTTAAAATTAGTTTTCCTAGATTAGATTGGATCTGTATGTAAAAGATAAAAAGTGTGAAGGATATAAAACAGAAATGAAGGACAACCTTAAAGGACACCATTTACTAGCGTGCAGGTACCTAGTGCAGCCACCAAACATAAGTAGCTCATTGCTGTTACTTTTCTGCATTCTGGCTCCAGCCGATTATCATACATATTTATCTTGTAAAACCAAGCTGTCAATACCAGTGGCAAGACTTTTTTGTCATGAAAACTGGCTCCTATTTCCTGTAAAGACTCAGAACAAAGGAAGATGCCTATATTGTGCCTTTCTTTACTTTTCATAGCGCCTGGGTGCAGACAGTAAGGGCCGGTTCACACCACATTTTCTGCGTTACAGATACGTTGCTGCATGCACATTTTTTGTGCGCTTTTTCCCCTCTTTTTTTTTTATTCATCTCAATTCAGGACATGTGCATTCCAGTTTGGTTTTGATGCATTCCAATTTGTTTAGGGCCATTGGAATACATGAAAAACGCCGTGCATGCATTTTTGATGCAGATTAACAACTCACTGGACTGCATCTGGTGTGAACCAGCCCTATTGGTCTTGGCTTTATGTCAGAGTGCCTTCTTTTACCTGTGCCTAGGACAGCATAACCCCTAAACTTGGGCCTTAATACAACAATAATATAAGTGGTAGCACATATTTTTTTTATCTTTACTCTACAATGACAGCCACCTTGTTCAGCTCCCTTATCTGTCGATGACTCAGTTCTTTCACATCTTCTCTTTCTTCACTTTCCTCCTCCCCACGTTGAGACTCCCTGCGATATCGTCTCTCAGATTCTGCAGTGTTCAGAAAATTTTTGGTCAACACCTTGACATAGGGCATGATGCATTAAAAAACATGATGCATCATTACTCAAGAATGTGGCTGAGAACCACTCTTACCTACAACAGCCAAGGAAGGTGGACATGGCCAATAATCTGTCTCAATTTTTGCTGGCTGGTTTGGATCAGGAGGTTTTGCAGCTGGAAATTTTGAAGATTCAACTATGGGGTCATCGGTTAGCCTGTGAGGGAGTGCTGACTCTGAAGGGAAATAAAATATTGCTTTTAAATGGCGTTCATTGAGGCATTAGCTGTAACAGCATAACAGCACCTTATGTGAAAGACAAATACAAAAGGCCCAAAATGTCATGGGGATAAGGGAGTGTGAGTTCAAGCAATAAGGCTATGGGGTTGATTTACTAAAACTGAAGAGTGCAAAATCAGGTGATGCTCTGCATTATAACCAATCAGCTTCCAGGTTTTTTGTCAAAGCTTAATTCAACAAGCTGAAGTCAGAAGCTGATTGGCTACCATGCACAGCTGCACCAGAATTTGCACTCTCCAGTTTTAGTAAAGTAATCCCCATATGTATTTTTCATCTTACCTCTCTGTTTGTAGATTGGAGGTTTTTTGTACAGGTTCGGCTCTTTTTGTGAAATTTCTGTAAATAATGAACAGGTTAAATAACAGATAAATATATATTTACGTTAATGTACATATTCAGTGCAGCACCAAAATATTTGAATTATTTAATACCATAGTGAACAAACTGGTGGCTAAGTGGTTAAAGTATATATGAATCTCTACATTGTCCTTGTCTGCATAAGGGGCTTAGGGGCTTAGAAAAGTGGGGGTGGAAACTCCTTGTTGCGAAGGGGGGTGGCAGCAGCAATTTTTGCTGTGGTGATGCAGCATTTACAGGGTAATTGAGCACTGAGGAAGTGATATATTGCCTCCATTCCGTCTGTCGAAAAGCAAATTACCACGGATCGCTTTTCAGAAGTGCGGCAATAATAGCCACACATCTAAATATAGTCGTACAGAACCAATAATTTGTGCAAGTATTCAGGTGATGGATATGTGACATTAAGTGATGGGCTAGTGCAAACAAAAAAATTCCTGGAAAAGGCTTTCAGATTGCTATTTGTGCACCCTGACCCTGGCAGAGGCCTCAAAATCCACTACCCTGCTATCTGATAGTCTGGTATCAGATAAGAATCTGATATTGAATGTTAGAGCTGCAGGAGTAGTGATTAGCTCACAGCAGGGGCAAAGGCTGAGCTTTTTGTGGGCTCAGAATCTCTTGCCATTCCAAAAGAAATCTGGAGGAATTAGAAAGTAGTTTCAGTCATCATTTTTGCCTTTGACCTTCAGCCATATTCTTAGTTTTGTCTAAAACTGCAACAGGACACAAGAAAAAAATCTGATGGGTTCTAGCAAGTTTTGTTTTTGCCTTTATTGCTGCTGGAGAGTTCCCTTCACTTTCTGCCTTGTAAAATATTTTCAGCAGGACAGGAGGGCAAATCTAGCAGTAAAACAATTATTGATAGCACTAAAACTGATGTTGGTTCTAACAATTCCCCATTCTTTCCAAAATAAGGAACAATATTTTGACTTTACATACTCCAGTGGCCTACTAAGGGGGTTGAGGGTTGCGACTCGCACCGGGTGCAAACCCTCACAGGGTTCTGAGGCCACCTGACATTTCTTAATATTGTATTGCATGGTGCTACTGCAGCACAGTATGTGGATGGGGAACTGAGTCATTTTTTCTTTGTTCAACCTACTGGTTGAATGAAAAAAAAAATAATACTCTGTGGGCTGTCTTACCTTCAGAGACCTATCTCTGTGAGATTTTCTTACCTGGACAGTGAAAGTGTTGAACTCCTGATCTAGGTGAGTTGCTTCCTCCTCGGGGTCCTTGTAAAGTAGAGCTGCTTACTATAGACTTGGTATCAGCCCAAAGTGCTGCGACCTGTTTAAGCATCAATAAACATCAATTTAATCCCTTGAAACTACAAAACTTGTTCTTCATCTAATGTACCATTTAGGTTATCATTATCATTTTGTATCATTTGCAAAGTCCAATGTAACCTTTCTAACTAATTTTACATTAAAAGCACTGCTTCCAACTAGACATGTACACGCTGGAAATTTTTGTTTCATTTCGGGTGCATTATTTATTTGAAACATTTTGTGTTGTCATATTCGTTGTGTTGATCCGATTCATTTTGGGAATTTGTTTTGTATCTTTGGCATTCTTTTTGAATATTCTTTGGTCCAGATGTATTCAAAAAAATGTAGCAGTTTTTCCAGAAGATTCCTATATATTCAATATATTATCGAATTGGACAGGTTCAATATTTTCGGACACTAGTCCAACCCTCCATGAGAAATGGTATGAGTTGATAGGACAATATCGACTGGCATCATGTGCACCTCGAATTAACAAATGAAATTAAAATATCCTAATTCCAAATTATCAAACAAATTGAAAAATAAAATTAATTTCCCCATGGGCCCGAACTACTATCGCATCGTGTGACATCATCCGAATGAAACAAATGCATTCATTAATTTTGTTATAACTTTTTTTCAGATATGTTGTCATTCGTTTCTGTGTCCATTTGGAAGAAATTTTTTATCTGATAAACAAATCAAAACGAAACAAATTGCACACGTCTACGTCCAACATTGCCAAATGTTTGGGTAATAAAAGGTATGGTGCTTTTCAAGGGTTGGTAAGGTCTGTTCAGAGTTTGTCATACTGGATTAGGATTTCAGCTCTACAGAATAAAATAAAAAACATGATCCTTTATGGTTTTAAAGGCTTTTAGGAACATGTTTGTGCATTGTGGGATATCTGTATTTTATTTGTTCTGTTAGGAGGGCTACAAATGGCTATGTCTATGGAATATTCTGTCTGTATAGATTGAGAGCATTCCACATCTACGTTCAGTAGTATCAAAATTACATAAAACTGAATGGCACTACAATGCTGTATGTACACTCACCGGCCACTTTATTAGGTACACCTGTTCAATTGCTTGGTAACACAAATTGCTAATCAGCCAATCACATGGCAGCAACTCAATGCATTTAGGAATGTAGACATAGTGAAGAAGACTTGCTGAAGTTCAAACTGAGCATCAGAATGGGAAAGAAAGGGGATTTATGTGACTAAACATGGCAAGGTTGATGGTGCCAGATGGGCTAGACTGAGTATTTCAAAAACTGCTGATCTACTGGGATTTTCACACACAACCATCTCTAGGGTTTACAGAGAATGGTCCGAAAAAGATAAAATATCCAGTGAGCGTCCTTTGTGTGGATGAAAATGTCTTGCTGATGTCACAGGTCAGAAGAGAGTGGGCATTCGATTTCAGCTGCAAAATTCAGATGGTAGGGTCAGAATTTGGGTAAACAACTTGAAAGTATGGATCCATCCTGCCTTGTGTCAACAGTTCAGGCTGGTGGTGGTGGTGTAATGTTGTTGGGGATATTTTCTTGGCACTAGCAAGGTGTACCTAACAAAGTGGCCGTGTGAGTATATGTTGGCATGCATTGTGAAGTTGTGGTTCAACAAGTATTGCTACAATGTAATAATGTGGGCACTAAATACTATGTACCAAACTGATGATTCTACTGCCCTACTTCATTATATTAGATTTGTCTGAACTTACCTCAGGTGATGGAGGAGGTGATATTGACTTAGGAGACAGAGATCGCTACGAAAACAGAGAAAAGTGTCAAATAAGCATTTAGCAATCCGCTGTATGTATTCTATTATTTTACATGTTTTTGGATTGAAGATTCCAAAAAGAACAAAAGATTGAATGTTTATGTAAGCCGGTTTCAGAAATCACGTGAGAATTTTTAAACAGTTCATTCTTTGGATGAGGACTCACCTCTCGGCTGCGGAGTGTCTCTGTGTTCTCCAGAAGTGTGTATGTAAAATGTGGTTCATAGATCATCAGGTCAGGCCGCTCAATATCCAGTATGGCCTTGTCACGAGGGAGGGCTGCGAGATCCTTGTAACCAATGACACGACTGTCCATGCGGGCCTGAACAGAGATCAGGGGAAGTCATTAAAGCTCAGTTCTGGGCACAAATACTTTCATTTACATATATTCCTCAACCCTAGTGGATATAAATTTACACTAAATGCCTTCACAGACCCAAAAGAGGGACACAGCTTGTCTGCCCACTATAGGCATCCTGCAGAAAACTGCAGGGGGCAGAATACAAGGCCAGTCATCCTGTACAAGGAGAGGGAGTATAGCAGTGACTGGTCTCTATTGTAAGAAATTCCTGCACAGAGGCAGAAGTTGTTTCATGCTGGATTACTACACGTCTAGAGGAAATTTACATAGTAGTAACCAAGATTCAAGTGTGAGAACACATATCTATGGAGAGGTGTCAATATTCCTGCTCTGTTCTTAACCAGAGTTTAGGACATTGGTGGCAGTACCAGTCTACAATGTGAGTCAGATGTGATGGCATGTAATAGAGGTGGATTTCTAGAGGACCTATACCGATTTGCTTGATTATGTTAAAAGTACTATGATTGACACACAAAGTACTATGAACCCATATAAACTATATGAATACTGAATGGAGTGGTGTTAAAAAATATTACACCATCTGAATCAAGACAGGGTGAGGTTTCTCCAGTTAATTAAATGTGGACAACAGTGGGAGATGAATGTCTGAATGAATGGGAGATAGGTCTGCTGATAGGAGTGATACCTGATTCCCATTCTGGTGGGCACTTCCCTTTCTGGTGAGGTTTGAAAGTGCTGAAAAAGTTTTGTGCGATAAATAGGTTCAAAGCCTCCAAAGTTTTTGAAATGTATTTTGAAATTTCACTTATGGCCTGTAATGGGTTGAAAAGGAATGTGCATGGTTGAGGGATGAAAAAAATAATATTATCAACCTAGACTGCTATATTGTGGTGGCCTGATGTTTTGGTAAGCGTGATTATGTTTTGATCAGCCCTTGTAGACCATAAGAAGGGTTCTAGTGGGAGGACAAATATTAGTCGGCGAAGCAGGTCAGTATCACTAACTTTACCTGCAGCAGTTGCTGCAGGAATAACAGGTTTGATTCTTAAATGGATCCATCACAGAAGGTTCTTTAAGTCTCCCTTAAAGCTAGGAATACACACACTCTGCTAGATGCTAAATCTAACTTGTAATTTTGGCACAAATGATGTCTTTTTAATCCTTTTTATCTTGATTTGTGTACCATACAAAAACAGAAAAATAACTTTTACTGATATTAATGGCGTTATTTGTTGCCCAAGCCATTATGTTTTAAGGTTGACTTCAAGAATTGCCAGTAGAAACCAATGACAGGGTCTTTGACTAGCATTGGTGGTGGCATGTATGATGTTTATGAGTCTTGCAGTGTAATCTTGTACTTCCTAAAGCAGGGGTCCTCAAACGTTTTAAACAGGGGGTCAGTTCACTGACCTTCACACTGTTATAGGGACGGAATATAGTTTGAAAAAAATATGAACAAATTCCTATGCACACCACACATATCTTATCTGTAGTGCAAAAAAACAGGAAAAAATACAATATTTAAAATGCACTTGATACCAAAATGCACTGTACACTGTAACGCACTTGACACCAAAATTCACTGAACATTCTAATGCACTGGACACCAAAATGTACTGTACACTGAAACACACTGGACACCAAAATGCAATGTACACTGTAACACACTTGTGACGGTTGCGGCGTCAGATCCCCAGCCCTTCTCTCCAACTCGTGACCGAAGGACTAGCCAATCTAAAACTGCGCTGTCACGCTCAGCTGCACCCTGCACAAAGATTTTCCAGCTAATGGACCACAATCTATGTACCTGCAGCCTGAGAGCGATTGTTACTGGGTCAAGCTAATTACGCAATTAACCCTTCGCACTGCCACCACCGCCTTTTTGTAGAGAAAAGGAGGAAACTCGCCAATATTAGCAATAACACTATGATGTTTGAATAAGCGTCTGTATACACACTGTCACCGCAGGCAGAGATATACAGAAGTTTAAAAACACACAGTAGCGCTCTTCAGAGACAGGGATTCTTAGTTTACATTAAAGAGCTTTAGAAACAGTTCAACACTTTTCAGAAAATAAGATTTATTACTAAAAAGGTCAAAATGGTGCAATAAACGTATTTGCAGAAAAAAATGTAGCCAATATATATATATAAATACAGAGAGCAATAACACAGCAAAGAGATAACAGAAAGAAGTTTAGAGAGGTAGAGTACTTGCCAAAAATCCTGGGTTAAGCAGATCAAGTTTCAGAGCAAAAGGGTACCGTCTCCCAAGTTGGTTCCGATATTAAAAGGGAGAATTCTTCAACTTCAACTTACTTCTCCAAACCTGACAGCCCTTTTCTAGGAACTCAGCAGGGTGTCTCCTTACAGCAGAGAACCAACCGCCTCATTTGGGGAGGGGTGTTTTAGGCGGGGGACTCAGGCTAGAACCAAAATCCCTCGCGAGTTATACCAGGGTCAATAGCCTTTCCTAGGTACATGTAACATTCTATCCACGGGTAGGATAATCTGCAGAATGATATTCTGAACATCCAGACATCAAATATGGCATAGTTCACTATTCCAGATAGAACTATATGGCTTTCTGCTCTCCTGTATATGTAATCCAGGGGTGCAAGATATCAGACGACTCGTATTAAGCTGAGGTATCCGAATATGTGCTTTATTTTTATGTAATTATTTCCTAACTTAAGATATGAAATTATAGGAAAAAGTGGGTTTTAAATGTGAGGTCTGTTTTACGGCTACCTAGGAATTCATTGAAGCCCAGCGAAGGACTGGTTTATGGCTTTACGATTATCTCAGATTGAGAAGCTAACAGACACCCGGGCACCAGCTCATTTGGGATTTATAACCATGAAGCTGTCCCGCTGTGCCTGATTGCCTGTGCACTTCTGAACCCAGCACACAGGGACCACGTGTCACTCAACAGAGGGGGAGGGGGGAAGCTGATTTGGAGTAGAAATGATACAAGATGGAGGGCCTTTGGCAAAATGGAGGTTCGCATCCATCTCTGTATGGAAAATGCACTGTACAATGTAACGCACTGGACAACAAAATGCATTATACGCACTGGACACCAAAATGCACTGTAATGCACTGGACAACAAAATGCACTGGACACTGTAATGCACTGTACACTGGACACTGCAATGCACTGTACTCTGTAAAGTACTTGACACCAAAATGCACTGTACTGTGTAACGCACTTGACACCAAAATGCACTGTACACTGTAACGCACTTGACACCAAAATGCACTGTACACCGTAATGCACTGTACTTGACACCACCAAAATGCACTGTACACTGTAAGGCACTTGACACTGTGCAGTGACACCAAAATGCACTGTACACTGTAAGGCACTTGACACTGCAGTGCACTGTACACTAACGCACTTGAAACCAAAATGCACTGTACGCTGTAATGCACTTGACACCAAAATGCACTGTACACTGTAACGCAATGGACACCAAAATGCACTGTACACTGTAACGCACTTGACACCAAAATGTACTGTACACTGTAATGCACTTGACAACGCAATTCACTGTACACTGTAACACACTTGACACCAAAATTCACTGTGCATTGTAATGCACTAGACACCAAAATGCACTGTACACTGTAACGCACTGGACACCAAAATGTATTTACACTGTAATGCACTGGACAACAAAATGCACTGTACACACTGGACATCCAAATGCACTGTACATTGTAACGCACTTGACACCAAAATGCACTGTACACTGTAACACACTGGACACCAAAATGTACTGTACACTGTAATGCACTTGACACCGCAATTCACTGTAACGCACTTGACACCGAAATGCACTGTATACTGTAACGCACTGGACACCAAAATGCACTGTATGCACTGGACACCGCAATGCACTGTATTCTGTAAAGTAATTGACACCAAAATGCACTGTAGTGTGTAAGGCACTTGACACCAAAATGCACTGTACACTGTAATGCACTTGACACCAAAATGTACTGTATACTGTAATGCACTTGACACCAAAATGCACTGTACACTGTAATGCACTTGAAACTAAAATGCACTGTACACTGTAACGCACTTGACACCAAAATGCACTGTACTCTAATGCACTGGACACCAAAATGCACTGTACTGTGTAACGCACTTGAGACCAAAATGCACTGTACACTGTAATGCACTTGACACCAAAATGCACTGTACACTGTAACACACTTGACACCAAAATGCACTGTACTCTGTAATGCACTTGACACCGCAATTCACTGTACTCTGTAAAGTACTTGACACCAAAATGCACTGTAGTGTGTAAGGCACTTGACACCAAAATGCACTGTACACTGTAATGCACTTGACACCAAAATGCACTGTATACTGTAATGCACTTGACACCAAAATGCACTGTACACTGTAATGCACTTGAAACCAAAATGCACTTTACACTGTAACGCAATTGACACCAAAATGCACTGTACTCTAATGCACTGGACACCAAAATGCACTGTACTGTATAACGCACTTGAGACCAAAATGCACTGTACTCTGTAATGCTCTTGACACCAAAATGCACTGTACACTGTAATGCACTGGACACCGCAATGCACTGCACTCTGTAACGCACTGGACACCGCAATGCACTGCACCTGGTGCCTGGTGTGCTCTCCTCCTCCTCTCCTCCTCCTCTCCTGTACCAGGTGAAATCAGTGGTTTCCAGGCTGCTGTTCGCTGGTTTCTCCATTTTTTTTTCTGCCAACCCGGGGGGCCAGGTAAATATCTTTGGCAGACCGTAGTTTGAGGACCCCTGTCCTAAAGGTTGGCACTGTACTTGATCGACATATATATTTTGCATACTAGGTAAGGATCTGCTGGTGAGTTTTTTTTAGGAGTTTCATGTCTACATTCAGGAGAGCAGTTGGGAGGGATCCTGTATTGTGAGAGATCCTTGTCTTCCCTGGGAATAACTGCTTTGTGTGCACATTGTCACTGTGCGC